GCTTGTTTAAGCTCCTTTGAGTTGAGTTTCTGACACTTGCAACCAAAAGAGTCCTAACACCCTCCCAAAGAATGTGCGCATGTAAATAAAAGTCACAGTTAAAAAAGAAAAATAAATCAAAGTAGGAAACATGATATTTTTAGAATTAAAAATGAGGAAATGGGATCATGTGGTCCCTTCTGAGGTCAAGAGAATTTGACAAAGGGGCTCTGAAAAAAAAATAAAAACGTATACAAAATGGAAAAAGGAAAAGAGACAAATGAAAACATTCTTATGGAAGGAAAACATCATGGCATGAGAAAGGTCAGGGTAATGAATGAGCAAAGATTCAAAAAAACACACTTAGTGCAGCAAGGGAAAAAAAGTAGCTGAAGCGAAGGAGGAGGGTAGCTCTCTTCCTTAGAGACCAAGCCGCCCTGAAGTGTAAGAAGACAATCTGGCTGTGGTAATGGACTGGGAAGGAGCTAGCCAGCGGCCACTGGGGTAGTTGATGAACGATTTCACAAAGCATAAAGCAAAAATCTAAATGGCTTCAGGTGCTCTGTCTTGAGGAAAGTAGGCAGATAAAAATGCTGGAAAAATAGCCAAAAGAGGTAGAGCACATGGGCATTTCTTAAAGTGACTCAGAGCAATCATTACAAAGATCTGAGATGTTAGAAAATATACGGGCACCCCGGAAGTCAGGGAAGCCACTGCTGTCACAGCATGGTGCTCTGTAGTACGGGTCAGAGAAAACTGTGATCCTGGAGAATTTCCTTTGAGAATGTGGCCAGGAGCGAGGGGGCTAGACTCCCCATCTGTGCACATGCCACACAGAACAGAAGGACAGCCACTCTACCTGGTTCCTCTGAAGAGGAGTATGAGACTGGGGTCCCCAGGGACCTCTATCACCATTTCGGTTCTTTTTTTTTTTTTTTTTTTTGAGACGGAGTTTCGCTCTTGTTACCCAGGCTGGAGTGCAATGGCGCGATCTCGGCTCACCGCAACCTCCGCCTCCTGGGTTCAGGCAATTCTCCTGCCTCAGCCTCCTGAGTAGCTGGGACTACAGGCACACGCCACCATGCCCAGCTAATTTTTTGTGGTTTTAGTAGAGACGGGGTTTCACCATGTTGACCAGGATGGTCTCGATCTCTTGACCTCGTGATCCACCCGCCTCAGCCTCCCAAAGTGCTGGGATTACAGGCGTGAGCCACTGCGCCCGGCCTCTATCACCATTTCTAACAGTGTGGAAAGAGCCTAATGGTTGAAAACCAAGACAGAAGTCACTCTCAGTAGAAAGACACCATCAAAAAAAAAAAAAAAAAGGCAGCATGAAGCTATGTGATTTAGTGCTACTTCTATGAATAGCCTTTCTATTCAGTTTCGCTAATTCTAGGACACTAATCATTTTCTTAGTCACATTGCTCTTGGGGGTGCTTTGGGAAACTTGAAATGCCTGCAAGGGGTCTTGCTAACACATTTTAATTTCAGGTGTTTCAGAGAGAGGAAGGCAGTCACTTTGAGGGAAGAAATGTACACCACCACCTGCACTTGCACACTTGCAAAAAGATGTTTACGCTGTACGGACAGAAGAATTTTACCCCTTAAAACCTGATGTTGAAAACAGAAGAGCTCTGCTGGGTGCTGTGGCTCATGACTATAATCTCAGCACTTGGGGAGGCCGAAGAGGGTGGATCACATGAGCTCAGGAGTTCCAGACTACCCTGGGCAAATGGTGTAACCTCGTCTCTACTAAAATACGAAACATTAGCTGGGTGTAGTGGCGGGGGCCTGTAATCCCAGCTACTTGGGAAGCTCAGAATCACTTGAGCCTGAGAGTTGGAGGTTGCAGTGAGCTGAGATCGCCACTGCACTCCAGCCTGGGCTACAGAGTGGGACTGTCTCAAAAAAAAGTAAATAGAAGAGCTGATATTGACAGAAGACTGTGTGGTTATACAAGAACTAGATTCATGAGCCAAATCTTAAATCACAAAGAATGCCCAAGTGTAAAACCACGGCAGTTAACTTGAGCGTGGGATTGGATTTTACATTGCGTTTGAAGGTAGAGAGAGGCACCGCTAGGGCTAGGACATTTGAATGTTTGTTTGCTGTAATTCACTTGTAATTTAAGAAGGCCCTATCTAGAAGCAGGATATCCTTTCTCCCTGAACCAGGATGTTGCCCAGAGTCTAAGAAAGGAAGGAGCCAAAGCCCCAGGACATGCCACATTATCCTGAAAGGTATCCTTTGCAGAATCGACAGGACAGAGCACTGACATGGGTCACACTGGCCTTCCTCTCCAGGCAGTTGCTCTCTGGAGGAGCTCTTACCTCCAATTCCTGCAAGGGAAATGGGATGAACTCGCCAAAGCTGACGGGCATACATGGTACAGGCTCACCAGCACTTCCACCTTTCTCTCTGCAGATTCCCGGTAGCAGCGTAGGAGGTCTTTACGCAGTTCTAGGCATTCTGTCTTTTGCAAAGACAGGTATACATATATGAAAGGGGTCTTTCTACTTGGGTTCCCCATTTTGTAGCTGGGGAGATTTGAGGTCCCATGAGGTTCTGTGATTTACACGGGGTCACACTGTTGCTGTGAGAAGATAGAAGCCAGTATACCATGGCACAAACCTACAGCAAACAGGGTGTTCTCTCCTATACCCATCCAGATACCATTCTGTCCTATACCCATCTAGATACCATTCTCTCCTATA